GGCAATGCGGGAGCCGTGTCAAGAGCTGGAGAAGACACAGCGGGGAGCCGAGGGGCTGAAGAGACAGGACCGAAGCGGGTTCCCATTCCAGGAGCACACGGCGCCGGTGCGATGCCGCCGGCAGCCCTGAGGATGCAGCCCCAGCCCGGCTGCACGCGGGCCCCTCTCCAAACCGCCCTCCAGCAACACCCCAACAGGTACAGAAAACCCTAGAATGGTTCGTGCAGAAAGTTGTAGGAAGAAAATAAGTTGTGCAGCAAATGATTCAACATTTTGAGTCAAGGCTTTTTCCTATGTACGTGTTCTATAATAGCTATACTACTTCCCACACCCTTCTATTTAAGTTATTATATCAAGGCCATGATAATGGCATCCAAAGGCTGAACAAAGATTGCTTACTGCTACGAGCAGAACACCAGAGGGTTTTTTTTTGGCGGGGGAGGTGGAGGAAGAAAAGTATTTATATACCGGCTTGCCTGCTGTCCAGATTCATCAACTCGAACACACTAGTATGGTAATTTTGACCAGAAGTTAACTTCAAAAAATGTTTAAATGATCCAGCACAAACACTGCAGAGATGGAAGCAAATGCCTTTTGCTCACACCATGATGATGTGAGCATTTCTATCAGTGAAGAGCTGGAAGGAGCTAATGTTCTCAATTTTTAGGTTAGGAATTCTCTAGAAGGAGTTTCCATCATAACAGTTCACATTCCAGCAATCAAAATTCCATTTTTTTTTTTCCCCAAATCAGCCTGTACATACAAGAAAACAGAAACCTGTCAAGCCTTGATATGTGGGAGAGGGGCAGCCAGAGAGGGCAACGTGTGCGATCCTGTGTGCCAAGCTGTGGAGCTCAGGGGAGCGTTCAAGAACTGGTCTTGGAGATGCTGGTCTGGGCAAGAGAAAATAAACAGCCTTCGAGCCACAGCTCCAAGCTGCCTACTGGAAGAAGCTAGAATAGGTTTCTTTAATGGTGATTTCGCCCAGAGGAAACATTCTTTAAACCTTAAAGCACACTTAATGCCTGGGAATTTCTTTAGGATTGCACAGGACTCTGTCAGAGCAGAAAGCTTTAAAGGGCCAAGAAAGCTGAGGAGGGATGGAGTCTCCTCCTGTCTTCACAAGTCTTTTACTCCAAATGCACCCAATTTACTTGCATTTCCAGGACTTGGGTGACCAGGCTCTTGCTGGCCATGGAGGCACCCAGGACACGCGCTGCTTCAAAGCTGCGTTTTGAACATACCCACGAGCTGCTCATTAACACCTCCCTAATCCACATACATCAGTAGTGACCAACGGCACTTCCCCCTCGGAGGAAATCCTAGGTAAGACTATGAAATTTTCAGGAAGCAAATCTGAAATGCAAGTAGAAACAAAGGAAAAAGAAATAAGATGACAGAGGTTAAGCCCAAGTTCTACTAAAATCCCTTTTGAGATTTTCTGTCAGCTTCCATTTTTAGCCTATATATGACATAAAATATCCTTTTCTATATAAAGTCAAAGGGATGAAGAGATCAGGCTTTATTAGGCAAACAACTTCAATTTTTTAAATCAGACTGACAACTGTTCCATCATATCACACTTAGATAGCAGAAACTCCCTTAATGCAGGGCAAAGATAGCTGATGATAGCTGGAACTGTTGTTGTTCTAAGCCTGCAGGCCAAAAGTCAAAGTGAGGCCATAAACACCCCAGAAAATAATGCAGTGCTAACTTGTGGTCTTTGGCACCAATTTCAATTTTATTGCATTGTTTAGAGTTCTAAATATGAAAATTTAAAGATATATCTCTATCCTGATGGAGCAGCACTGGTGCAGATGTGTTTTACAGCACAAGCTGCCTAGAGAGCAGCTCCAAAAGCAGCAGCAAGCCGTGCAGCCACGCTGCCTCCACGCACTCCTCGCCGTGAACAGGTTTCACTCACAGGACTCGGTTTCTCCATGAAAAGCCATCCCTGCTGCAGCGCGGTCGCAGAGGGAAGGGCTCCCGCGCGTGACCGCGCACAGCGCGCCGAGGGGAGGCTGCCCCGGACAGCAGCTCCCTGCTTGGACAGACACCCGGACACCGTTTCCATGAACAATCCGCCTGTTGTCTTGCTTACAGCTCCTTTCTCTCGGCAGCTCCTAAATAAACACGGTCACCGCGTTGTGGCTCAGGCCAGCCCCGCTAATGGCACAGCAGCCAACTTTTGGTGACTTAACCCATGGCCAAATCTCATATTCTAAGCACTAATTCTCCTCCAGAGGCCAGTGTCTCATCATGGCTTTTGCAAAGTTGATTAATCCCCATGTTCTTTTTGTAGAGCACAGAGCTACCTTATGTTTTTCTTTGTGATGCTTAGAGCCACCCTGTTCCCTTTTATACGGTGTTTATCACTTACGCATGTATGAAGTAAAGGCTTTAGAATTACCAGGTTCATGCTTTACTTGAGAGTCACCAGGCAGGGAAGAGGGAAGAAGGAAAACCATCCTCTTCCTCGCCCAAACACAGAGACTCCTCCCAGGCCGGGCGCACGCCCGCTATTTGGGCAGAATACAGCAGCATTTCTTGCTCTGATCACACACGTGCTGTATTCCCAGGAGCTTTGGCAAGGGAGTAACAAGTGCTTTGAATGTAGATGTCATTACAGTAACTAAACAGTATAAGCATTGCTTACAGTTGCCTTTTCGCTTCACTGCAATAAAGTTTCTCTTCATGGAAACATGCTGTTATACCAGCAAATGAACGTGTAATTTTTAGGGTGCCCCTCAGGCACTCGCTCCCTGCATTGATGTGTGTATTGAAGGGGCATTGCAGCACCACTGGTGCTTGAAGTCCAGCAACAGCTCTGCTACAAGCTTTCAGTCTTCTCACTGCACTCCCGGATTAGTGCAGCAATTCCCTAGCAGTTTCCAACAGAAGGCAGGCAGGATCCTATTGACTCAAAGTGCTTTCATGAAGATTATCCTAAGGTATCCTCAGCATCTTTAGAAACAACTGGTCCACACGAGCCCTTGTGCAGGCTCTCGGTCACATCCCACCACTGTGTTCACTCAGCAGCTACATCAGAGCAAGGGGATCTGTCCAAACACAAAGAAACCCGGCTGGCTTGCAAGCACAGCATCCTCCCAGCGCCAGGCACCGAGACACCAACACTTCTGACCGCTTTATGTGGTCACAAGCAAGGCTGGAAATGCGGACAGCAGCGAGTAACCGCCCCGCAGCGCTGGCTCCTGATGCAAGCACAGAAAGCGTGGGTCACCACGTGCCACAAGGACAGGGGTGCATGGGCCCAGGCAGCCCAGCACGGGCAGACTGCTGCCCTCCCGACACCGCGACCGCGCCGCAACCCAGGCAGTGCCACCGAGCCTGGCAAACAACTGGGCTCCACACTGCCCAGCAATGACAAACTCCTGCGTGACTCCACTGCTCTTCCCTGGAGAGCCGGCGCTCCCGATGAAACGGCAAAGCTGCTCAGTGGCAAGTGTCATCTTGCTGCATCTAAGGGCAAAGAGTCCACAAGCATCTGTACTTGAACTGCAAGCCACGCTGTCATTTCTTTCTGTGAAGGGCAAGGAGAAAGCAGATACTGCCCTCAAGCCAAGAAAGTTGTCTTCTAGCACTAGTTCCATGAAATGAAGCCATTTAGTATGAGAGGAAAAGCAGTAAGAGAACAAGAGTCATGTCAAGGGACATTACATCAACTCAGGCAACAAATTCCGGAGTACATATACACACATTAGTGATATACAAGAGTCAGTGTGGAACAGATTAAGGATAAAAAAAGAAAAGAATGAGTAACATTGCACTATCCTCTGGAAACGCTCCTTCATTATGCCATATTACAATCTCGGTGACAGCTAACATTCCCAGAAGTTTCACATTAAAACTGCTCTAACGGCTGTATCAGACCAAAAACCCACCTAGTACAGCATGCGAATTTTCAAGGCCAACAGCAGCCTTCTAAGGAGGAGAAAAGTGAGGGCAAGCGTGTACGACCAGCAGTGACATCTGCTTTCTAACATTTTCCTGAGAACTCTTACACTCGATTTGGATCTTCGGTCCATTACTGAGCAGAAAGCTGATGTTTTCATGTATCTAGTTTAATTCCCAAATCTTGCATTCGGGCAGCAATAAACAGCCAGCAGCCTCTCATTTCAAACGTAAGGCGCACACATTTTCACCCCCGTAGATCACTTTATCTGTGTTGAATTAATCACCAAGTCACTGGTTTAGTAAGATTCTTCTACACTTCTTTACCACTCTGAAGAGTGTGGTATTGCCAACACGCTGCCACCTCCATTTTCCCAATCATTTCTTAGTTCTCAACAACATATCCCTGAGCTCAGGTGACCATCTCCTTCCACGATGAAAATTAACCACATGTGTCTGTCTACCTCTCATCCCCATTTCTTTATCCATGGAGAACCATTCCTTCCCCACCACCCCAAGAGCAGCTTAACTTCTTTAAGAACGTAAAGAAAGTCTGGTTACAGACTCAGCCAAAAGATTTCCAGAAATTCAAGTGCTGTATAAACTGGATGTTTTTGCCCAAAATGCCTGTTGACTCCTACAAAGAACTCCAATACGTTTGTGAGGCAAAACTTACCTTTACAAAAGCCATGTTGACTCTTTGTGAGGCAAAACTTACCTTTACAAAGCCATGTTGACTCTCTCAATACATTATATTATTCATGTGTTCCACTAAGTCTGTCTGTTAGAGTTTCTACTAATTTGTCCAGTAGAGACATCAGTCCTACTGGCTTGTAGTTCCCTGGATTTCTCCTGGAGCCCATTTGAGTCACAGTCGCCACCTTCCAGTTCTCAGGTACTAAGACAGTTTTAAAATGAGAGGGTATAGACCAGTTAGGAGTTGAGCTTTGTCATTGGCAAGTTCCTCTAGAACTCTAAGAAATCTCTAGGACCACACAATATCCATCTCACTGCTCAGTTTGTCTATTTATTCCACAGCCTGTTCTACTGCCCTTCCACATGGCTGATGTGTCCTTCAAAGAGTGATTCCGACATGGAATTCACTCAAACCTATCTGTGGTTAAGTGTCAGTTAAGACTAGCATTCTACAACAAACTACTGCCATCTCCAAATACTTGAGCATTATGCTCCATACCAACAGACTCAGTGTGGCAGGACCCATCCAGCCTGGCTGTGGTAAAATTGCTACTCTAGAGCTTTTAAAACCCAGCACTGACAAGCAAAGCAGTTAGGAGAAATAAGCCACTCCAATACATACAACAATGGCATAATAATTGCAGCTAACTGCTGTCACTTGTTAATTAGCAGCTTTTAACTACAACACACTGCTTGCAACTTGCTGTTTCTCTGCTGTACTAGACAGATCTAAACTGTTCAAGAACACAAATACTATGAATTGCTTCTAAAGGACTTTGCATTAATGACTTTTTAAGAATGCTTATGCTGATATCTCATTGTATCACACTGTCTTATGTAGGTGTCTTACCTGGAACACAGCAGTACTTAGAAAACCTTTTTCTCAGATGGGGCATTGGGTTTTCACGTTTTGAGAATTCTGCCATTCAGATGGCATGCACAAGGTTTGTAGGTTAAGGATAAGACTCTTAAAAAGGCAGCAATAAAAACGTGCATATGTATAAACACACACAATCTAATCAGTGTGTGTAGAACTTTGGTCCAGGTTCAAGCAGCAGGAGAGCCCTGGGGTAAAGCTCCCCAAGAGCTCGTGGAGGCAGGAAGGGCACGGCCGCTCACTGGGGTGGAGGAGCCTTTCCAAGCCCTCCAGATGCTGAGAACTGTGCCCACAAGAAGCACCAATGGAATTAACCACATCAGGAAACACCCGACCACCACAGCTCTGCTGTAGGGCCACATCTGCCAGCACAAACCACTTAGCAACTAATTATTTCAGATGCAGGTAACTGCTTTTCCTCCTGAAGGGCACAAAACAGCTACTACACTGCAGTATCTTCTTACAGGCGCTGAGAAAACTAATGAGCAGAACACAGTCTTTTCACAAGCAAATGGAGTTTTGAATTATGATCTTAACACAAAAACAATGATCCAGTAAGCCAAAGTACTATCAAGCCACAGCTTCTAAGCTTACCGTCCTCATTTGGTTGGGATAACTGGCACCTTGCTGTAGGCAGGAGCATTCCTGGAAGATTGTAAAGGTGCCCACATGAAAGCAAAATTTCAAAAACTAAGATTCGGAGTATAAAATGTTAAAAAGTGGCACTGGCTTCTGAGAATGGACTATGCAGACTGTATTTCTACTATAAAGACTGCTAAATGTAAAGACTTGTCTTCTTAGGGAAAAAAAAGACTAATGAAAGCAATCAATATACTTTTTTTTTTTGAACCAAGTATCCATAAACCTCAGTAGCATTTTTGCTTTTCTGTGACAGAGAAGGAAAGGCAAGTTAAACTACATGAGGGAAAAAAAAAAAACAGTGGGCAGAACAAAATCCCTTCAAGAGAAAACATTTCTAATATGACACAGAAGCAAAAGGACAAGATATTAAAAGAAAAAAAAGCCTCTTTTCTTTCCCAAATCTCTGTCCACACAGTGCTTCAAAATTAAAAGCCTGCCCACATAGCAGAACAAAGTGATCAGAAAAGTTTTAAAAGTGCTGCAGCACATTGCTGACTTATTTTTAAGATGACTCACCTATTAGAAGAGACTCCCCTGAATGGGATTCCATAATTGGTTTTGACAGGGGAGGTTTTGATCTGTGGGAAGACGGAAAAAGCATCTTTGAGCAGCTAAGCTTGTTTAACTGTGTGCTTAAATTTATATACATATATATATGGACAAGAGAATATGCCTGCCATCTGCTGGAAATAAAAATGTTTGCAAGTGAGACTTTGTAAGGTAGCAGCCTTTTACAAGTGAGGATGCAACAAACCTGCCCTCCGTTTTCCCTCTCCCCCAGAAGGAAGCCAAACAAACACCCAATGACTTCAGCCCTGAGCTAATATCTCAGGAGAAACGCAGACACTCGCTGCAGGGGGTCTCCAGGAGCCTTAATTTATTCATTGCAACAGAATATTCACACAGGGTATCAGTTATCCCCTCTCTGTTTCAGCACGCGAGTCTGCGAATTCACTGCCATCTTTAGTAGTAAAAGCAGCAGATTTCATTGCCTCTAGTCATCTCGAGGCTTCCCCTGCCCCTTATATTTTTCTCCCTCAAGTAAAATGGGCTTTTCCCCTACTAGAGCTTCCACTTAATTTCTCCAATCTGAAACAGGGGCTGGACAGTTTCATGTGTGACCTGTTTGTATAATCAAAGCTCTATTCCAAATCCTAGAGGATGAATTGTTTCTCAGAAGGGAGATGTAAAAATTAACATCCAGAGTTTGCAATTCATGACATCCTCAAAATGCAATTTCATATCATATAAGAAAATACAAACAATAATACTTACTTGATATTATGTATTTTTCTTGCAACTATCATTGGAAAATCCACTTCAAAATATTTTTTAGGGAGAAGATTTTCATCCTGAGAATCGGGGTAAAAGTTTAGCATTAGGGAAGTTTCACTTGCATATGAGAAAAAAAAATGCCTTTATGCTCCAAGAAGTTTTGGGTTCATTACTTCAGCATTCCTAATAATACCTAGTATACCTTAATGACTGTCAGCTTAAAAAAAAATAAAAGTGAAGAAATACTAACATGTCGTCTAAGCATTAAGAAAAAAAAATATTTCTTATTCTATGTGGCTGTCCTAGACATAAGATCACTAAAACATAACTTCCAAAAATATACTACCAGGATGGAAGAGAGCACAGCAGCAGGAAACCATTACATTTTACTATGCATCTCCAGTATACTCTAAAAAAAGAACGAGGAACATTTTGCATGGGTTTACACAGAAAGTAACTAAATTCTATCACTTTTCAACAAACTGTCAACCAGAATACAAGAACATTGGTATTTTTCTTTTACAAAAAAAAATGTGGAAAATTCTTTCATTTCATACTGTCATGCATGGCTCGACACCTGATAAACTGTGCCAAATCTCTCCCTGGCTGCAATCCTTTTATGATGAACACACACTGCAAGTTCCAGCTTGTCAATCTAATGCATTTCTGAACAGTAGCTCAGTAATCAGACACTGAAGCATAAGATTAACTGGGTCCCATTTTCTTTATCTTCATCATACTACATCTGCATTTATAATAAAATGAAAGAGTTGGAATTAAGGGCCTCAGTAACTTAAAAATCTCAGTTGCAGGAATTTTAGTAAAGCTGTGTATTGACATAGTTTCCATAGCAATGTAGGTAAAGAAAAAAAAAAGTCTCTGAAAAAAGCATTTCCCTTCACTGACTGTAACATGATTTTTTGTGACCAAGGGAAATGAAACTAGCCTCTTTAGACTATCTTCCATATAAATTTAGAGAAGTACATGGTTATGAGAAGCTGAGATACTTTAAAGATAGATTTACTCAGAATGATAACAGCATTCTGGAATTATAGCCTGTATTGTTGCAAAGTACAAAGCAATGACACAGAAACTGGTAAACAGGGCACATAAAACTCTACACATTGGTACCTCACTTCTGTCTTAATATATGACTGGATAAAGTGAACTTCAGAGGGTAGCAGTATGTGATGTTCAGGCTCTGTTCCTGGAAGCCCACTCGAGTTCACCCTCCTGCCACCCACTTGGGAAAAGGTGGTGAAAACAGCACGGTGTCACCCTGCGCTGCCACCCCGTGACACCTCACAGCCTCTAAGGACACGGAGGCCAAACTCAGCCCACCCGAGCTAACTGCACGTGTCCACGCCGTGCTGCAGAGCACGGATCAGAGAGGCGCTCCGGGGAGCTCCACAGCCCCTGCCCGGGATCGCTGCCCTCGGCTGTCGTTACCTTCAGTCTCCAGAACAGGGTATCCATGCCAGCACCAAGATTAACAATCTGACAGTTGCATTCTGTCTTCTTTAGAAAAGCCTTAAGCAGGTGACCGACACCATGAACACGAGCATAATAGCCTGTTGGGAAAAAAAAGTTTTTTTTTTTTTAAAATATTATTTTAGTACAATATTCACTGATTAGAACATACTGAGATTTTTACAGAATTTTTAAACTCCTAAGCTATCAAAAAGCTGATTCCTGGAATGACCAATGAAGTCTCTTTAAGACATCTAAGGCTGTTGCTTTCAATTGCTAACAAAATCAGATGTACTGAAAAAAAAAACACAGTTCCTGCACAAATAAAGTTTTAGCTGAGCTTCACCTTGACTAGAGCAGACTAATTCTAGTCGGGGGGGAGGCTCTTAAATCTTGAGGGGGCCATTCCTGGCACACGTGCTGCTGCCCTGGGTCAAATCAGTATTTTTCATTGCTTTGTAGAGATTATTGCCTTTAACTGAGACACACAGAGATGCTCCGTTCAGAAGACTGAAAGCAAAGGACAAGGCTTTTTATTATAAAGATCATTCAATTGCCAGCCTGAAGAGTAATTCTACCATTCTTTTATACACTTCCTACATTCAACAATATGCAGCATGAGAAAGCTTTGCCAGCTGCCCTTCAAGACTGCTTGAGGATACATTTGCATTAGCTTCACCCGCATCCACATGCCAACTTGCCTCTATTGATTTCAGGTGCTTTTCTTTCTTTGGCTTGCCTCACAAAATACTGGATGTAAGGGTCCTTCCAGTAGCCAACACTTACAGCAAACCTGACAAGCAGAGGGAAAAAACAGGAGGAGAATTATGAAACAGGGCCATCAAGAGTCACTCAAAGGTGCACAAGCTGAAAAGGTCACTGCCCTCTCCGACCTGTGTCTGTACACGGCCAAGACTTCAAAACCCCACTGAACACGGGGAACTGCTTCCCATGGGAAGTTATAACCAGTCTGGTTTAAACTCTGGCTGTTCCCACATTGAACAAGCGCGTTTTCATGTCCTCTGCACCGTAATCAAAGATGCCCTTCGCGAGGCCGGGCAGGGAACGGTCTGAGCTCCCAAGGCTGCTCACCCAGCGTGTTTTACCTCTGCACGTCACCAACTGCGCTCGCTAACCCCAGACCTTCCATGTACCACATTAACTCAGACAGTGCTCCAAGAGAAACTACTAGCTTTAGAGCTCATGTGATAAGGCCCTCTCTAGCTCTTAAGAAATATTTATTTATACACGTATAAAATATTTATAACAAGAGGAAGAATAAAAAGCTAGCACGGCAGAAATTCACACTCATGAATAACAGCGCAATAAACCTCATCCCCGCCAAGCATATGTCCAGAAAAGATAAGGAAAACAATTCTGCAAAGCAACAAGCAGCCCTTCCGAGGCAGGACGTGCTGAAACCCCGCAGTGCCACCACAGCTCGGCCTCGCAGCGCACACGCAGCTTTGCAGCTGAACCCGGCACTGAACGCGGGGGAACAGCGGGGATTTTAGCCCTGTTTTAGGGCCGTTTCGGGCAAAGCAGAGGCTGGAGCCAGTGGGGTCCGGGAGCGGCGCGCCCGGGCCAGCCCTGCCCCGCTGCGCGCCCCGGCGGTACCGCTTGCAGACGGACGCGTCCTCGCAGGTGCCCCGAACCGCCTCGTCCGCCTCGTCGGGGCCGGCG